ATCCCTACCCTTCCCAACCTGGCACACTACCTCCAGCAGGCTCTGCCTTTTCTCCTTTAGAAATCCATTAACTTCTTGCCCTGCTTATTCTGAAGGAATTCATCAGGCTGAAATCCCCACTCAGATGAGAGGTCACCTAATCATTTGCCCACATGTCCTGACTCAGCCTTGCTATCCAGGGACAGCAGAGTGTTCCTGGGCTCAGACAAAGCCACTCTGGGCAGGGTGCATGCAGCTGGTAAACAGTGGGGACGGCTCTCCCTGGGCTGCACAAAGACCTTGTTTCCTCCTGCATTTGCAGAGGTCACCCAAAGTGAAGGCACTCGTGGCCCCTGAGGGACGTCACCGTCACGGCTGGTGACAAACCCACAGCTGACTCAGGGATCTGTCTTTGGGTCTGAACTGGGAGCACTGGGTCTCCTTGAATTTCTGCTCCTTTGGCTTCTGCCTCTGTAAGACGAGAGCGCTGCCCTGAAATCCTCCCACACACGGACACTGTTGACTGCAGCTGAGCCACAGGGACATTTCAGCGTACAACCTGGATTTCACTCTTCTTGTTTTCAGAGCAGAGGCAAGGCTCAGAGTCAGCCAACACTACACACCTACATCAAACACCTTAATCCCCCCGGTTCTGAACTGCAGTCACTGCTCTAGTTTATAAAAATGCTTCTTTGCAGTGGTTGCACCTTGCCCACATATATTGATTTCTCCTCCAGCTTCTGCTGGGTGTTTATCCCTCCCTGTTTTCCCCAGTATCCACAGAACTGCCATTTACCAGAAAGACTGAAAATTGAAATGAGGAGCATTAACATGAAATTGCCCATGGCACCCAGAAGCATCAGCAGGCTCTGGGACTGCGTGGGGAGAGAAGTCTCTGCTGTGGGGGCAGCACAGCAGCAGCCTCGGGGTGCTGGGGACACTGGAGATTTGTAGCCTCCAGAAGAACTGAGTCTTTCATCCTCAAGGACCAGAAGCAGCAAGAAGGCACTTAGCATGATGTAGAAACAGCTCAAGCTTTTTTGACAACTGATTTCATTTTGAGCACTAGATTTTACTTTGGAGACAGACTGCAAGGGCGAGGATAAACTGGACAATTGTGTTCACTGGTTTTTTTGAGCTTGTTGAGCAAAGAGTAAAGCAGGTGAGAAGGGCTTTATTGCACCTGTGCACTGCTGAAAGGATAACCTCAATACTGACTTCTAACAAGTTCATCTCCTTTAGCCAAGCTCTTTTGAATGGCTCAGCTCTTACACTAAGCCATTATTCACTTTTCCCAGGGTTTCCATCCTTTAGAAAGTGGCTGGAGGGAGATCCGTGTCACCCAGCGTCCCCAGGTCCCCTCTGCTTTGCTCTTGTAACAAGAATTGCAGGCAGAATCTTGCCAATTAGCTATTAAAAAAAAAAATAAAATTAAACTCTCAGCTGCTATCAGGAAAGCTGCAAAGAGGGATCACTGTTCTGGGCATGGCCACAGCTGCACAGGACACAGAACTACTTCCCCTGGCATTCAAATGCATCTTTGTATCTATATTGTATTATGATGGTGCTGTTGGCAATTAAAATACAACCCTTCCCTGGTAATTAGCGTCTGTGTAACACTGGTAATCAAAAACTTCATAACAATTTGTTCTACAATCCTCACAAGTATCAAGGATAAAACCAGCTAATCCAATTATTTTGTAGGCATAGCCAAGAGAACAAAGCCTACAGCTCCTCTCAGGTGTATCTGCAGTGACACAATTCAGTGTCAGGGATCCACCCAGCACACGAGCCATGGGCACAGCTGGATGAAGCTGCTGGAAGCATCTCCCACAGGCACCCCAGGAGCAGCTCCCCACACCAGCAGGCCCAGAAGGGGCAGGCAGCCCCTCAAGGATGCTGCTGGTCCCTCCAAGGGGCTCCCCCTCCACAATGCTGACCCAGAGCTTGGTGCCATGAGCACCAAGAGAGACGCAAACACTGAT